CTCTCTCTCTCTCTCTCTCTCTCTCTCTCTCTCTCTCTCTCTCTCTCTCTCTCTCTCTCTCTCTCTCTCTCTCTCTCTCTCTCTCTCTCTCTCTCTCTCTCTCTCTCTCTCTCTCTCTCTCTCTCTCTCTCTCTCTCTCTCTCTCTCTCTCTCTCTCTCTCTCTCTCTCTCTCTCTCTCTCTCTCTCTCTCTCTCTCTCTCTCTCTCTCTGCGCCTGTCTGCCAGCGACGTCATGCTGAACGTCTGCGGCTGGAGCTGCGGATTCACCGCACGAATTAAGTTTACACTAACGACTTTGTGTTGGCGAATTGGCGAATTGGACCAACTTCCCAACTAGACAACCGACAATCGGCAGTGTAAACGCAAAGGTTGCGCGACCAACCGATCGATAGCAACTAGTTGGAAGACTGGAACATGTTCTATTTTCGCCAACTCGGGGTTACCGAATTGTGAAATTCGGTCCAACTCGCCAATTAGCCAGTCGGTAGTGTAAACCCAGCTTTAAGCTCGCGCTCGTCCACACCGCGACCACGGCTTCACGCAGTCACGTGACACCCTGGATTCCATTATGTGAAAAAGCCACTATCGTTACTAACCGAATAAAAACGCATTGTCTACTAAAAACACGTCGGTTCTCGCGCCGAAATGAAAGTGAATCTAAGCGCCGTTGTCGCGTTCGCTTACAGGCAGCGACGAGACACGATGGAAATCGCAGCTGGCTTCGCATGACGCGCTTGCATAACAGCCACACGCGACGGACTGTCGTATTTATTTCCCCCTTAAGTGACGGCATTCTCCGTGAACGTGTCTCCAGTAGTCTCGCCAACAGTCGGAATCCTCCCCGAGCCTCGTCCGAGGCAAACAGCCGGGTCTCTCTCTCTCTCTCTCTCTCTCTCTCTCTCTCTATGGGTGAAAGAAAGCCTCCTCTAGTTGCACCGTAAGCGATGCGCGTCGCTAAAACGCAGACGCCCCGCCGTAGCTACGAGCAGACGCCCGCCGTCGCTACGAGCAGACGCCCCGCCGTCGCTACGAGCAGACGCCCCGCCGTAGCTACGAGCAGACGCCCCGCCGTCGCTATATGAGCAGACGCCCCGCCGTAGCTACGAGCAGACGCCCCGCCGTAGCTACGAGCAGACGCCCCGCCGTCGCTATATGAGCAGACGCCCCGCCGTCGCTACGAGCGAGCAGACGCGTCGAGCACTCCTAACGTGTTAGCTTGCGCGCGACCGAGTGCAGAGATGCAGGCAGCGCAGCATCAGGCGCATCCGGCGTGTGCACGCGTAATGTGTTTGGGAAATCCACTGGACACCTTGCTATCGGTAGACACGCTCACGCACGCACGCACACGCGCGCACACACGCACGCACGCACGCACGCACGCACACACACATACATCCTCATGTAAGACAGCGGGCGCTGTCTATAACTGTGCAACTGTTGTACCAGTGTACTGGTTCTGTGTAGCAGAAAGCAGTTATGTAATACCACAGTATGGACGTTCTAGCAACATCACTCGTTGCGATAATTACAACATTATTGTTATTTTAGCACCGTCCCATACCATTAGTCATATTATCAACGCACCATAGTCACGATAATATCACAGTACTGCTATCATCATCATCATCATCATGGTCATGATTCCATTATATTTATGTTATTATCGGTATTAAGTTCAACGGAAACCAGCATTACATAGCGCTAATACGTTCGTGTTTGGTTTGCTTACATCGAACCTTCATAAAGGGATGCGGAGATTGAAAACAAATTGGAGTGCAAATGTAATCAGTCCCCGATGCCTGACAAACCGTCCAGGCGAAATCTAACGGTTTTGACAGGGGAATTAATTACTGTAATTGCATGCGATAGTACTGCTTCACTTTGTTTTTGCCCAACAGCATCTAACTGCTTCTCATCAGTCCTGCATAATTAAGTCGATTGCTCAACCCCGTGTTCCTGACAATCGTCAGACAGGTTCTCATACTCGTGGCATACGCGTGAATTAGAATACCGCTAATGAGAATATTTAAAATATACATATCCAAAAATAGAAATCCCTCATTGAGACATGCGTGAATTAGGTGATGCTAACGAGAATGCTTCAAATATACGTATATCAAAAAATAGCATATTCTAATTAAGACACACCTCCGACTTATGCGATATTAGAAAAATATCGCAAATATTGTACATAATGCCTCTTTATGCTTACATGCACTTTACCGCGCAGAGTTTTATTCTTCGTGCTAGTGTCTAATTCCGCTAATAATTGAAACTAGACAACTGGTTATCAATTAAACTCACATGACATAATTCAGTTGAGCTCAGAACGAACTAGCAGCAGGAATGTTCATCGTAGCATAAACGCGTGCGCGAAATATAATTTTTGTACGATATTATTATATTCGCAATAATTGCTCAAAGCTGATTCGACATCTCACGCATGAAATTGCGTCCCTCATGAGAAGTGACAACTATTTTGGTCCGCACTAGTTCTTGCTGTAATCAGTTTTGACTGAAATCATTACGAACAATTTGTGAGACAGGCTTGTCAAGAATAGACGTTATGATCATTGATCAATTAGTGGACTACCACATGGCAACATTCCATGTCAATTCGTCCTCGTTTTAGAGATAATATTCATGCAAGAATGACGCCACATCTCCGAAACGTTTCACGCTGCTGCCATCTACATGGCGACGAAGCAACATTCAACCATGCTCAGCAGCACCGAACTTAACAAGGCACTATCGCGAAGTGGCGCCATCTATAGTACGAAAATCTCGCAAACATATTTCGGATAAAGACCGGTTGATAGTTTTCGGCCGCATAAACCGATGTCAATGAGAATAACACAAACAATTTGTTGCTAACGTGGTTGTTTTAAGAACGTAACTACCGATGGCTTTTATTAGTGAGTAATATAAATTCCTTTTTTGATAAACGTTTTACATTGAATCATAACAGCTCTAGAATAAGACTGAACCGGGCTCTAGTTCCTGGCATTTTTTTACATTGCTATAGACTATCTGCAGTGAACATAACATCCTGTGGAAAACTCTCAACAGTCATGAGAAATCGCAACTGTTAGACAGCAATGATAAAAAAATAAACCGCACCACTAATAGCATTATTAGGCTTTATGCTGAGCAGTTGTAATACCAGAGGAAGAAGAGTATTAACAGGTGACCGAACACACAGCAGAAGCTACAACCGAAAAAAAGCTACAAAAAAAGAGGAGTAGTCCCGAGTCATGTTCCCTGATGCTGTGCTTCTAACTAGGATTTTAAGAAAATACCTTTTCTGGATATGCTTATGTTGCTTTCCTCCTCTCTGGACGTGGTTCTAAGAAGGGACAGCCACGCTCCCGCCGCACACCCATCCTCATCTTCTTCCTCTTCCTTGTCGGCATCGTTCTCGCGTTTAATCTTCTGGTGTAAAAAACAACTGTCAATGCGGATCGAAAATCTAAACGCAAAAAAAGCTCTGTTGGGAATTATGTAACAGGATTTCAAGGTGCGAAATTAACGGTCCGGAGTCAAATACTCCCTGATTTACTGTCGGACTCCCTGATTTGACATATGCAGGAGTCCGTGTGACTCCCTGAAAATTCTGCCACACTAACTAGTTCGTTCCGGAGCACGGCCTCGCGGAATTACCGTATTTTTTCAGCTAATGTCCAGAGAAAATTTGGCAGACCGCATGGGCCTCCGACTGAGGACTCCCTCATTTTGCTGGGGACTCCCTCCTTTTGAGGGTAGGGAGTGTTGGACTTCCTTGTTCAAAAGTTAATTTCTACCCCTGGGATTTAATTTGTAACGAATGAAGTGTAAAATGCAGTGCAACGCTCACGTTAAGTGGTGGTAGCACATGTTGACTTTACAGTTATTTGCATTTACATCGGATTACATCATCCGAATACAAACGGGATTTCTAACAAGTCAAAGAACACACAGTTCGCGATTACACATAACAAGAGAGTCTTTTAATGCTCAAATTCGGACAATAACCGAAACCTTTTCAGTTTTCATCGTTCAAAAATCTTACATGCATACGGTGTTCGATTTGACCCACGTTACACGGCCCCTTTCTCTATGGCTGTGTAGGCGTTTGGCACCGTTGCGTGTTATGAGCAGCATTTTCGGCCAACGATCGAATTCAGAGTCCCCATGCAGAAACCATACACACGTTCTCTTTTCACCGTACTACCCCCTTCTTCCCTATCGTACTCAGTGTCCTTTTACTGATCGCACCACACCTCTGTACACAGCACCGCAACTCCCCTCTACCGTATCACCACCTCTTTGCCAATACCTATACTCCATACCTATACTGCTTGTCCCTACCTTCCCCTCCTACTCCTATATCCCTCTCTCCCTCGCGAACCTGCGACGCGTGGAAAATCTCAGCGCTCATGAGCAGTCGCTTGTCATCTTGGGGCGACTCACTACTATAACGCCGTGTGCGCGGGAAGAAGGGCCGACACAATAGTGCGCACTGCTATCGCGTTCATCGCTACTGGCTCTTTTACAGCAGAGACGCCCCGGCTGCTCCCTGTGCTTAAGACTGCACGTTTGCGATATTATTTCGCGAGCCGTATCGAATGAATCTGCAGAAATACCCGGGCCCTTTCAGAGAAACATATTCTGCGCGCGAAGATGTATGCGATTTTTCCTATTGAAGGGAGAGATCGGCGACGCGATACCGCGAACTTGCTCTCCAGGCAAAACCCAAGCCAACGTATAGAGAAATTTCAATTAATGTTAGGTGAACGATCGGTCTAAATCTGTGCGATCGCTATCAACAGTAAGGCTGACCAATAAGCTGACGGGCTCGTCATTACTGCTGCCTGCGTCACGCTGGCTGCCACCGTTACGAGAGAGCGCGATTCAAAGAAAGATTTTCGCGATGAGCAAATCTCGCGGAATCGTGCGCGGGGCGGCGGGGCGGTGGGTGAGGGGAGGGGGGGCGTAAGCCGCGGCCGCACGCGATATCTACACGCGAAACGCACCACACACCAAAGTACGACTGCGATGAGTCACGAGAGCCATGAGCATCGCAGAAGTATATGGTAGCTTGGCATAAGAATTGACATTGTATGCGTCCTGTAGTGGCCCATGCGTGGCAAGTCACGTTTACTTTAACGCAGGCACGCACGCACGCACGCACGCACGCACGCACGCACGCACGATCGTACGCACGCACGCACGCACGATCGCACGCACGCACGCACGCACGCACGATCGCACGCACGCGCACAAGCAAATACGTGTGCAAACGCACGTGCGCGCATACACGCGCGCAAGCACGAACATCCGGTCCACTCCGGTTAATTTACAGTGCTTACGTCACCTTAGCTAGTACATGCAATTTTTCGTACTATTTTTCCATTCCCTTCGTTGTTAACGAACTGTTGCGACCTATACATACTTCATAAAAAGAGCAATTTTAGTGGCATCGTAATTCAAACAGTGGAGTGTTTTAAGTACATTTTTGCTTAACAGCACCATTTATAAACAAATGTACAAATACCCCAAAAAAATTCTACAATAATAAAGCTATATATATATATATATACCTGTATATCTGTATATCATATGTATATATATATATATATATATATATATATATATCTGATATTCATATGTATATATATATATATGTATATATTATATATATCAGGGGTTAATAATGACAAGTTTTCATTCCTTTTCGTTTCAATTCATTTCATTTCAATTTCATTCATTCATACATTCATTTAAATGACAATTTGTCATTATTAACCCCTGATATATATATATATATATATGCTCGTGAAACTCGCGACATAGTCGGTTCAGTACTTGCAGCATGATTACTTACGTGATCACCAGCTGCCGGGAAGTCTTGCCTATACGGTCCGAATGACGTCCCTTTCACTAGCGCCACCTGGTTACACACCGTGCATTTAGGCGAGCTGTCAACCGGCTGTAAACGGATGACGAGAGACGAAGGAACGTCGATGACACCTCTGTGATCCATCTCTGATGACATCTCTGTCTCCCCATCTTCACTACTGAATGCTGCAATGCAAGGGGGCAAAGCCATGCGATAAACGTTAAGGTTATAGATATGTACAGGATTCTTCTTCTTCTTCTTCTTCTTCTTCTTCTTCTTCTTCTTCTTCTTCTTCTTCATTTTCTTCTTTATCATCTTCTTCTTATGTACAGGAGTGTATAATATAAAGATGTTGAATTTCGTGTGTTTCGAGCGAGTCATACACTCCTGATATGTATATGGTCACACATACGGACATGAATGTAGTCATAAACCGCGTATATATGGGGAAAACCCCGGGTTATCTCGGCTACGTGATGTCAAAGCCCGCGTTTAGGAAGCGTTTATGTCTATACTATATATATATGTATATATAGACATATAGTCATGACTGACGTAGACATGTCATGACTGTAGATATATCTAAAGAATAAATATTGATGTAATATTTTCTGTTATTACTACACGAGGTTTTCGTTAACAGATTCTTATATTAAGGTCGTTCTGGGGATATTTATACCCCTTAATATGATGCATTCACACTATTAAGTTTATTTAGATTTTAAGTTCCAGTTTCTACAAATTTATTATTCATAATAATTTTATTTAAGGTTATTTTTCAGTAGTTGTCACACAAACGCTCCATCATAATATGTGAGTTGCTGTAACTGCACGTATTGAAACTGGTTGAATTGTTTCACCGCAGATTACACTCGCTAATGTGAATGTCGACTGACATCACAGTGTAATGCCAGATCACTAGAAACTTGCTTAGATTCAATCCAAAACCGATTTCTTAACTGTGAATATGGAACTCGGTTTTTCGTCAGCCTTGCACAACTGTGCTCGGCATAATCGAACAACAATCTAGGAGGCGCCACCTGCGCGGCGAGAAGGTCAAACTTACTACACTAGCCGGGCAAGTAACCTATCAATGCTCTCACACACAGACAGACACACACACGCACGCACGCACGCACACACACACACACACACACACACACAAACGCACGCACGCACGCACGCACGCACACACTTTCTCTCTCTCTCTCCCTCCCTTGCTTGCTCGCACTCTTTCGCAAGTGCACAGTGACATCGATTACGAAACGGAGACACGGCAGGCGCAACTGGTTTTATCCACACATCTCCGCACTCGCATGACAATAGCAGCAGCTCGTTGACACGTCATGCCGCCGCCCGTCGTCTGCCGATGGCGGCGCTGTCAATATCCGCGCGCGCGACGAACGGCGATGCGATCCTCTCGTCGCAAGACACCAGTGTCTCGCCGCCGGCATTTAACACTTCCTCGATGTCGAAGCTCTTGACCTTCGCCTTCCCTCGCGACTGAGCTGAGCTTCTCCCACACTCCACGTCCTTCACGTCGCGCGGCACGCACTTACATATATACCCACCGTTGATGCTCGTATCCATCTAGACCGTGCGCAGACACCGGGGCAGCACGGCGGTGCGACACGCAGCTCAATATCACGGTGATTGCGAAGTGACACATTCAGGCGCAGTATAGGCGCATTATAGAGCCGATAGCCGCCAAACAGACAGGATCGCTATCGCCTTCTCTAAATATGCTTTCCTATCTCATCTGGTTCCTTATCGATGATATCAGCCTTATGTAATCACGGCATGCCAGTTACCGAGGGGTACGGCTTTTAATAATAGGTGTGCCCAGTGCCACTATGCTACACGCATCACGTAGGTAAGCAAATACACACTCACGTGGCGTTCGCTGCTGATACGGCACAATCGCAGCATTTCTCGAACGATTTCAGTTGCTATGAACTTCTCTTTATGGCGTTGATAAATGCTTTATCTGCTTAAGACAAAGTTTGTGTTTTATCTAATCCCTTTTGTGCCAATGAAGATTAAGTACTAAATAGAGGTTATATTTATATACTTATTATCAAGAGTTAGTTATTATCTACTCTTGTTATTATCGATGTATATCGTCCGCTAAATACACATGTACACTCATACATGAACGCACGCACGCACGCATGTGCTTTCGATGTCAATTACATTGAGTGACAATTTCAAAGCCACAGGTAAAAATAGGTCTGTGCATGAATGTTGATATAAAAGACGTTTTATTCGAAACAAGCTCTTGATAATCATGATTCGCCTTACCTATGTATAGATATCCTATATGTTGTTTTGTTCGGAGAAGCAGGATTTCTAATTTTCTCACATGAAAAAATGGTATACATGTGTGTGTGTGTGTGTGTGCGCGTGTGTGTAAATTGAACAGTGCCGTCGTTACAATTATGTGACACCTGTGTGGGTGGATGAGGCGTTAATACAATTAATCTAACCATAAATAAACTACATGTGCTGCTGCGTGCATCACATATCTGGCTTCGCGACAGCCTATATGGAAAGCTACCAAGTAGATGCACGTCCGAACTCCTACTTTCCTCATGCTCTCATCTAGAGCCAGAGAATGAAACATAGCGCGATTCGTTTTGCATCTGCTTTAAAATGCAACGAAATTAGATGCTTTTGTTTACATTGAAACATTATAATTTCAAGATATCAATCATTTGTAGATGTGCACAAACGTATATATCCCAGCGACCATCTTTTGCCTACCGGGAATTCTAACGGCAGTTTGTGAACCACACTTTCAATGCAAATCCATCTAATTGATTGCGTAATTATTTTTTTCTAACTTGACATGTGCTACTCGGCGAGTTTCTCCTAAGGTCCCAGAACACGAAAACAAACGACATCGCAATCGCACCACAACAACTACGATTTCGCATTAAAATTTGAGGTATTGATATTCGGAAGAAGACTGGATATAGTATCCGGCGGCGAAGACCGTTTACCGGCTAAACCCTCGCTGGCTACGGCCTACTACTATTTACCGAACCAAACAACGCGGTAAATATGGAACTCACGGCACCATAAAGCAGAATGTTTATCGCGCGCCGTTAACTACTATTCTGGGATCGGTGCACTTATATGCCGCGTCCGATATGCTGATGTTATTGCCGCGCGTCGAAGTAGTAAAACACAGATCCTATTTATACCCGCGCGATAAAGACGACAGATTAGAGATGCAATTAAAGCGATAACGAGAACACTTGCACTAACTGGAATTTCTACTTCACGCGCCACCACGTGTGTACATATAGGGACGTAATGTCAAAAGTAATGTACGGGATGTAATACGGCGAGCTTATTCGTTATAATATGCAGATTAAAGGGCATACATTTAGACGACTGCTCCGTAATCCCACACCCCAGAGGTTCCCTATGTCCTAGAGTGATGCATGAAATGGGGATACATTGAAGAAGGCCCAATCGACTATGACTGCGGAGAGGACCAGACTACGGAACATCTCCCGGAATGCCCCCTATTACCAGAGAAATATCGCCGTTTCTAACGCCACGTATATATACGCCAATGAATACGAGGGTAATAATTCTATTCCGTGTATTTTGTTGTCGTCCAATCCCACGTGCATCAATGCATACATCACGCGCGTGGATTGCCGCGACACACGCCGGCGGTATAGTGCTGTTTTAGTTCAACACGATACGATTAGCACAACCGATTCAGGGTATATATTTCCGATTCAGGTATATATTTCACTGGTAAGTAATCAGGTAAGTAATCAGGGTATATATAACCGATTCAGGTATATATTTCACTGGTAAGTGCCTGAAGTACGTTGAATTAAACCAGACCTCATCAGTTTAAACATAAGAGAAATCCTTGGTAAAAACAGGATAAATAATATCGTTTAGAGTTAGATAAGGTCTCGCATTCTGGACAATTCCTCGCCCGAAGCGTGAGCGTCGCCTGTACACACGTTTAACCGCTTCTAACAAAACTAAACAATAGCGATTCCGTTTTCTGAACAATTGAGAATGCTTCCTCTAATGGACAATAAAAATAACACTGCCCGCGTTCCACCACAAAGATGTTTTCCACTCAGGAAGCGAACGTTTCCTATCGTACACCATAGGCATCACCTCTCCTTAATGTAACGTTGAATTAAGAGTTCATATAGAAATGATGAAGTAGAAATCCAAACTTGTGTATTCAACTGAATAAACTTTAATAACTTGCACACAGTGTAGTCACATCTTGCACAGAGAGACAAAGACACGCGCCTAAGCGCGTGTGCTTTCTCCCGCGACCACAACCAGACTCCCCGACTCCTACATCTCTGTCCTATATATTACCCCCAAAACCCCTACATCCGGAGCGCACATGTCACCCGTTCTCCCAGACCGCGTCCTACCTCCATTTCACAATGACCCTAGAAACGCCCGACCTAAAACACGTACGTTTACCATTCTCCCTATAACATCAATCTAGCCGCACAAGATGCGAGACGCTCTGTCTACATAAACAACCACCAAAACAACCCTGAGTCTAGCCGCACTCCGCGTCTCTAACTAATTTATGTAACATCTGTAAATCATATACAGTCTTAGTCTCCTTCCCCAAGATGATGACCCTGTCATCGATTCAGCGTCCTCGCTGATCTACACTTCAACCTAAACCTAAACAATTTCTAAAATACATATGAAGCATAAAGCTTTCTATACAAAACAAGTAACGATAAAGTTCGATCACCATACAAGTAAGAAATTCAACACATTTGGCAGTGAACATTTTGATATCGCTGCAATTACTCTCACTCTTGCGTCTCTTTATGCTGTAACGTACGTGGCGTATGCGTATACCGACACGCATTACCGAAACGACATTTATCAATGTGCTCCATTATATCCTCATTTAAACCTCTTAATCCCATTATTACGCACAGCACCGATGTGGACCTGACAACCTTTGTCACTTCCACACATCATACAGCCAAAAAAAATACGCAAAACTGATTTCATATTTTCGATGAAATGTTTTAGGCCTATATCAAACTCTAATTGAAAAATGTGTTTAGCAGTCTGACAATATAGCGTAAACGTAACGTTAGCACAAATTCAAGAAAACGATCACACATTTCGACACAAAGTTTCACACAAAATATTTTCCCAC